GCTTCTGGTTTCTATAAAATATTTTTGGCATTGTGATAGTCGTTTCGTGCATGTGTGTGGCTCAGTCTGTTAGTTAGAGTTGACATCATGTGGTAATTGGAGAATTTCAGTTTTAATCCCAAATTTTCTGAGTATTAATGTGTCCAGAAATTTCAGATGAATAACTAGCCTCTTTGTTTTTTAAACTGCATAACCTTGTTCCCAAATTCTAGTTTCTGAATGGTAAATTGGTACAGGTTTGGAAATAAAGTTAAGGTTAGACTAACCATGGTTGCTGGGTGCTTGGTGAATAAGTGGGGGATTCCCTTGGATCAGGTGGGGTGAAAGTGGGATTAAGAGGTGAGGTGATGATAAGGAGGAAAGGACATGAGTCTTTGCCAAAATTTGTGAGCAAATTCAAAAATTAATTACCTTAATTCATAATTTATTATTACCTTAAATTTGAACTTTTGGGTAATGGTGACACTGTTTTCTGACAGATTCCTTTTAAACTAAAGAACATAGGCTTTTGGAAGATTTTCCATCATGGGAGAGACCCACCTTCCATACCCAGTATAATGACAAAATCCCAGTGTGCATTTAGATTAAGCTCTACTTACATTCTCTATAAATGATCCCTTTTGATGTGTGTTTGGATCTTTGACAATATGATACCAAATTGTAAAATTTTTGTGAGATTAAGAATTTAAAATGTAAATTTTAGGAGCTTGTTATGTAAAGGATATTTGTAGAAAATATTTTTTGCAGATAAAACATTTTAAAATAATTACCTCAAATCTTTTTTTCTATAAATCCATATTTTCTTGTTTTGAGTTTCTTTAAAGCAAGTATAAGTGTGTGTGTGTGTGTGTGTGTGTGTGTGTGTGTGTGTGTGTGTGTGGTATGTGTATATTTTGAATTTTTTTCATAAGATTAGTGTACCAGAATTTTTGTTTCACAGCTCTGAAATAAAATAGACTTACCTTTTAGAAGGCTAACTGTATGTGTGTTATTCTGTAGGAGCAGAAAGGGACACACTTTATAGCCAAATGCAAAGACCTGAAATTTCCAAAATCTTACAGGGAGCTTTACTATGAGTATGTTTTCAATTAGAAATTTGTACCTATTTTCCAAAGAACAGAATCATTGATTCTTTCATTTTTCTATAGTTTATATATTGCCACTAAACCACTTCTATGTTGTTTTTAGGTAATACTTTATAAACATATAGGTGGTATTCCAAAAGACACACAACTTTAACATGCTAAGTAGACGTCAAGAGGAATACTAAGGAAACTTTAGTGTGAACAAAGGCTCCAGGGAAATTCCAGATAGGACACTTTCAAAATTAGTTATTGTGTGTACTCTAGAGAGAATATGTGGTTTAAGTTCTTACAACATTAATAGATAATTTAGTTGTCTGATGTGGTAGGAAGCTCTTTTGGATGTTGTCTTCTATGGTGATTTTTATAAACATTTACATAATTGCAAATGTAGGTATATTTACTCTAGTAAACTGCAAAGAGAAGAACGCATATGTTTTCAGTTCATGGGAGAGTGAATTTTTTTGGATTTGAAAAGAATTTATTTTACTGTCAGCACAGTTCATGAAGCATAACCACTTTGTACTTAATGGCATCATCATAGCACTGAAGGGGTTATCATGCAGTAGAAAATTATTTTTGATGACTCAAGAATAGATTTATTTATTTATTTTTTCTTGGAATGCTCTTTCTCCCACAGGGTTTCTGTGTCATCAGTGTGGTTTCCTTTCAGTTTTTTCAGGTCTCTGTTGAAATGTCATCTTTTAAGGGTAGCATTACCTGACAGTTTTAGCTGAATAACCCTCAATTTCAGTCACTCCTCAGCCTCGAGTTCCTCATACCTTTCTTTATAGCACATGCCACCCCTGACATATTACATATTTGTTTGTCTCACCCACCAGACTATGAGCTCCGTAGAGGAGGGGTTTTTTTCTTGGCTGTACCCCTGGAGCGCAGAACGGCAGGCTCCCAGGAAAGAGTTGTTGAGTGATTTATGAGTGGAGTTTCCTCTAAAAATGACTATTGACTTGGGTTTAAGATTTTCTCTACTATCTTTCTTTTTTTTTTTTTTTCCTACTATCTTTCTTTATCAACATGTTCTGATCTAACAATGATGATTTTGGCCACTAAATTATTTTGAATATTGATCTTTTCATTGCTCATTTTATCCTGAAATTAACAGTACTCACTTTACTAATTAAGGTTGCAGGCAGATAGGCATAATTAGACAGAACTGGTAATTCAAAGATCACTTTGGTTTTGGAATGTATTATGTGATTTTTTGGGGGGAGGGGCATAGAAGATATCAGATCAGTTTTATTTCATTATATTTTCCTTAGGCAACACATGAAAATTTGTCTTCATTCTCTGAGCTCATGCCAGCTGCCTAAAGGAGAGAATTAGAGCAAAATAAGGTTTTGGAATCCATTTTGTCAAAGATGGGCCTTCCCTGATATGGATTCCAACCTTCTAAAGTTAGAAGTACCTCAGGCCTCCAGAGGTTATAGAAACCTTAGTAGGAGTCAGAGGTGGTCATTTGTGTCCAGTTTTGCTGGCAAGTGAGATACCTAATGTTTTTTAACATACTGACCCTGTTATAGTTCTCTAAAAAGTTGACGTCTTGAAAAATATTGCCGCCTTTAACTTACTCTCAGAAGTCAGCACCAAGCAGTAGGTGTAGGCACTCAGAAAAGTGCACTTATAGATGCATATATACACCTCATGTCTGAGTGAAGAAAGGAGCTACATCAATGACTTGACAAAGCAGTTATTGCATATAGATTATGGCCTCAGTTGGAAAATATCTCTTACCGATCACTTTCTCATTCTGCTTTTCCTCTTGCCTTTCTATTGGCAACATCCGTCCACCTTTTGTGTGGCTATTCGTGTACAACATCTGGTATGCAATTTAAAATAGATCTTATGTAAGGTAATATTCTGGTTTCAACCCTTTTGAAAGGTATTGCTGTTTTGCACTTCCTACAGTTACATCTCAACATCATTATTGATATTCTCCTTTGGTTGTTGCCATGACCAATAATTTGAGAGGGATGCATTTTTCTTAATTCCTGCATTTTTCAGCATAGTCCTCTGTCATTCTTAGCTTTCTCTGGTGACCTTTCTCTTTTAAGAATATTTTTCTCCACATTTTCCGTAGATTTCTATTTTCCTTGTTTTAGTGGATTACTTAAAATGTAATTTTAAGTATTTATTAGTTTTCAGGAAGCCTTATGGAAGAGTGCTTAAGAGCTTATACTTTGGAACCAGATGACCTAGGTTTGAATCTCAGCTTATCATTTGGTACTTGTGTGACCTTGGCAAATTATTTCACTCTCTATCAAATATGGATACTAAAGGTGTCTACATCTTAGGGTTGTTATAAAGATTCAATAAGTTAATACATGTAAAACTTCCAGAAAAGTACTTGGCATATCGTGAATATTCAGTAAATATTAGTTATTGTTATTCTTTCCTACAACAAAATATTTGTTCTTTATCTTATGTAGTATCATTGCACTTTCTTCATAATGGTTTAGCATTTTCAGTAAGCAAAGGTCAAATTACCTTGAATAAATTATGCTATATCCACACAATAGAATATTATGCAACCATTAAAAGGATGAGATGGATCTGCATATACTGACCAGAAAAGCTGTTAATGATATTTTATTTTATTTTTTTTTAATTTTTTTTTAAAGATTTTTTATTTATTTATTTGAGAGAGAGAATGAGAGTTAGAAAGCACGAGAAGGAAGAGGGTCAGAGGGAGAAGCAGACTCCCTGCTGAGCAGGGAGCCCGATGCGGGACTCGAAACCGGGACTCCAGGATCATGACCTGAGCCGAAGGCAGTCGCTTAACCACCTGAGCCACCCAGGCGCCCTGTTAATGATATTTTTAGATGGTAGTTTGCAGTTCCACATTCATATCAGAATTTAATGTTTAAAAACTATATTATATAAAACATGTCTTTGTAAATATAAGAAAATATTGGATATGTACCTTGGATGAATGGATGGAAAGGAAACTTGAGCTCTTGAATTTCCTATTTTATATGATTTTAAAAGTGTGGGATTGTGGGAATACACACACACACACACACACACACACACTCTTTGTGCATTTCAGTGGTTTTAAAACATTAAAATTTTTTTTTTGCTTGTGTTGGATAGATACTCCAATGAAAGTCTGCATATTTCTAGCTTTAAAAAAAAACAGATTTCTAAGAGTAAAGGCAATGCAGGAAGAGTTTTATTTATCAAGTGAGTCAAGAGACAAAATAACAATACCTTCAATTATTTCTTTGCAGGAGTAGGTTGTAAAGAAATGTATGGGTCCTGTGTGCCCACCGACACACAGGTGTACACAGGTGTGTGCACACAGCCTTAAAATGACTGAATTACTCTAGAAAAGGACAGGAATTCTCATAAGGCAAAGTGAAGAAAAATAAGGCCAAAGGAATGGGATAAGAGAAATATAAGTTGATAATATATTCCTAGAGCTGTGGTTTTCACATTTGAATAACAGTTGCAACATAACTAATAAAGTAATTGCTAACATTTGAGAGCTCACTGTGTGCGAAGCAGTGTTCTAAGCACTTACAATGTTATTTTTCTGTTAATATATGGGTATATTTGTGGGTATATTTTTATGTCCAGAATGTGTGTGCAATAGTATACATATTTTTACATAATTGTGATTGAGTGTACAGCCCTTGATCTGTCAGTCTAGCATAAGCATAGAGAAAAAACAATGAGTTCTGTAGTTATTTTTAAAGGTAATTTTTCTCATTTCTGATATTCTTAATTCCCTTGAAAAGTTTCACTTGCTGCATAAAACCAAGAACCCCGATCTGCATGATATCTTTGTGGTTAGTTGCTGTAAAGCCAATATTTAAATTTCTTTGAGGTCTTTTTTAGTGCCTGGTATTACAGGATGAAGATCTCATCAGGAGGGTGAATATATATGTGGCTCTGGGTCTTGTGCATTTTGTGACAAAGGAATTCCCCTTTGAATCGCCTGCTCCCCTGAAGCCCCTGGAGCCTCTGGCTCAAGCAGCGCCGTTGGTCTGTGCAGTGTCTCTGACGTCATCGGTGTATGCATAAGCCCTGCTATTGTCTTACTGCTACAGCAGGGCTGGGGATTGCGGTATCCGCTGTTGCCGCTGCTACCAGGCCTGCCCCTGCTGCTACCTAGTCCTGCCTCACTGCATCCCAGAAGAGCCACGTTGGCTTGCCTTTCCCTATTGGATTTTCAAAAGCAGCTCTTCGGTTTTTGTGCTGTAGGAGACCTTGCTTTTCAATCACACGGGAGAACACTGAAGCTTGTAAGAGGAGAATCTGGCAGCTGGACACAGCTTGGACTGCATTGTGTGTCTTCATGACCCCTGCTGTGTAGCGGCTCATCTTTTCACTCTCACACGTACACTCTCCTCGATTTTATTTCCTTCCTTTTTTTTTCTTTCTTCTAATTTTTTTAAAGCAGCCTCTGGAGCCAGCCATGTTTGGCACTGAATCTTCATGTAAGTAAATGGATCCCACTTCTTTGCTGTTTAGAAATCTGTTTGCTGTCAAGGTTTCATTGGCTTGGACTTCATATCACTTTGCCTTAGGTCATTAACAGCCTTTGTATTTTGGCTCTGATTACAAAGGAATTGGTCCCAGGGAAGGGACTCCTCCTTAACTGGGTTATTCATTCTTAAGGCCAGGGATGTCAGTGTGGTCAAAACCAGGCCTTCAAGAGGGAGGAGGGAGGAAGACAGGAATCCAGGCAGTCTCCCCAGAACATGTTAATTGATGGGATCAAGTCTGTCACAGATCTATTGTGGGCTCTATAATGGTCTTTAAACCTAAAGTAGAAACTGGGAGGATCTGAGATGATAGTGTTTATTAGAAAGGGAAAAAGGGTTTACAGTTTTTATCTAAAAGAAAAAAAAAAGGTGTCATATACCCTCTTCCTCCATATTTTTACAAAAGCATAGGAGTAGTCATTATATGCAGATTTAAAGAAAAAGAAATAAGCTTTATTGTAGAGATTTTTTTTTTTAACACAATGATTTCAGTGTTGATATGCTGGCTAGCGTCACAGTCCAGCAGCATCATATCTTTCTTAAAACTTAATACAATAAAATTGCTTTGGTGCAGAGCAGGCCCTGCACAATGGGCTGGGCTGGACAGCACTTGTAGACAGCTACAATTGGTATTTATAAAAAAAATGATGACCAGCCTGACTAATTGGAGTATTATTTAATGTTGGGTGTAGAATAATAGAACTTATCCTTGCAGTCACACAGGCTTTGCAGAATATTTTGTCATTATCAAATAGCAATATCAAAATATCATTTGTCAATATTTTGTCATAAGCAAAGATGACAGTTAAGTATTTCTGAAGAGACTCAACCTGCTGGCCTAGAACATTAAAAACTGGCAAGATACCATCTTTGTGGGAAGAAGGGGGTTAGGGCAGGAATTTAGGAAATGCATTTCTTAAGAATTTATAATCCGACCTTTTCTTTCTGATCTCAGGTGATCAGTGTGCCTATTTGTGTGCAGCTGATGATTGTTCTAGAATAGTTGTATTTCAAGAGAGCTTATAATCCTCATTTTTTTTGTTTCTTGATTGGTTTTTTTAAAAGATTGATTATTTTTGTTGTTTCACATGGAAGCTTCTCATTGCTGATATTAACCACGCTAATGAAGGTCAAGATAGAATAACAATGAGACATAATGTTCCGTTCAGCATATGATAATATTATTTTCTAATAATTTAAAAATATTTTTTGAATTCACTTAATGGTACATCTGGAATCATTGTCACCCAAGAAGTAGGAACAGATTATTGTGGCAAAGACTTTCTACAGTTTCATTTTAGTCATGGAATTTTGTTGATGTAGGAGCCTAGGTATGGACAAATCTGCTGAAGGAAAATTAGTCTTATTACTTTGTTTAGCTGAAAATAGAAGTTGAAAATCAGTGTGGGAGTCTTTGGGCTCTTGGATTAGGGACTCTAACAATGTCTGGTCAGGTTTACTAAGCAGATACAGCCTTTCTTGATTATCAAACCTGATCTTTTAATAATGTCACCCATGTGCTATGTGGTATGTTTGAAAACTGCTGGTTGCTTTTGGTCTCCATAGCTACCAGATTACTGAACAGACAGAATACCATTCAGAAGACAGAACACCATCATGCAAATTTTTGCCTTTTTTTTTTAAACCTAATTGAGTATTAAGTTTTCCTTCTTGCTTATCACTAGAAGACCACAGATAGGTTTGTATTGTCAGTGATAATCATTAAGTGTTGAGAAAGGACTGCCTTCTTTTGATAAGGAGATGCCTTAAATCTATACTCAGTTTAGACAAGTGTATTTTCTTTCTGTTTTGAGGCATAGCTTTCTAGGCCTTTAATTTCTGCCTTTTGGAGGCTTTATAGGCTGAAACTGTCTATATTTAGAATATTCAGAAAAATAAGTCACATTTCAAGTTCTAACTAGTTCAGAAGGGATGTTCAAAACCAACTAACACATTCTCACTGAATTTTTATAATAAATACTTGTTTATCTACCCTGTGTAGCATATTGTGCTAGATCCTAGAAAGGTAATTTTTTTCTAACATATTCTGATTTCATTATTATTTTTGATTTCTGGTTGTAGTACTTTGCTTGTATTGGATGCTTTTACTTTTTAAATTGAAGTATGGTTTACATAGGATAAAATGTGTAAGTCAAAGTATGCAGCTTGGTAAATTTTTGCCTGTGTTTATACCCATGGAACCATGCCCCAGATTAAGGTACAGAATATTTATATTGCCCTAGAAAGTTCCTTTGTGACGACCTTTCCCAGTCAAAAGGAAATCACTATTCTGACTTCTTTTGCTTTTCTGCTTCTTTTAGAGTCACATGTAAATGGCCCTTGTAAATTTTCTCTCTCCCTTGCTTTTTGCCTATAAGAGAAGGAAATGTCAATGTCCTCGTTTTTCAAGTACTAGAGTAAGTTGATTTTATGTTTCAGACCTTTGTAGTCAGGAATTTTTAGTTGCTGGTATCACGTCATAACATGTTCTGTGTCACTAAAATAGTATTGCTCCATTTAAATACCAAAAAGACCCCTCTCCTCCAGGACACACGTACAAAAGCCTTAAAAATGTCAAAAAATTTACCTGGAAGAATAGACACTTGTTCTTCAAAGTTAAAGACTTACATAGCTAAGGCATCAGAATTAATAAATGCTCTTACATTGTTTTAGTGAATATCTTCTGATAGCATTCTAGTGAATATCTTTAACAGTGCCAGTCTCAGTTTTTCTGTCTTAGTGGATCTGAATCTCCCTGGTTGTGTAGATTGGCTACTGCCTATTTTGGGCCCACTTGGAATGCAAGCGTTCTATGTTATATGTGGATAAATCCTTACAAAGCAGGAAGTGTAGCTTCTATAGCTCTGTTACCATCTTGAAGTATTTCACTGAGCTTTTCCTTTACTGAAATTTCCCATTCTAAAAATGGGAGTAGTATGTCTGCTCTTTATCTGCTTTGAGGAAATGCAATTTTAGTTTCTGTGGTCAGAATAATTTAGGTTTAAGAAAAAAGTACTATCAGTAAAGTTTTGTTGAGGAAAGTAGTCATTAAAATGCATATTTTTGGTACTTAATTTGACTTAATGATCTTTTAAAATCAATAAATGGAATTCTACAAAAATTTGAAAATTTTACTTTTCTTTTAAAATTTTATAAAGGGACAGAAAAATTTCATCTTTTCTTTTGGTGAAATAAAGAAAACTGGTTTTGTACTGCTGTCATTTGGTTACATCCTTCTTAATAAAGCCAGTTATTCTCCAAAGTGTAAATACTTCAAGTACAATGATTATTTTTTCAATTAGCATTTATCTGGCTCCATCCTCCTTCTGTCTCCCCTCCCATGTTTAACTTTTTCAGGCCTCAAGGGTACCATTTAAGGTGTGCTGTGGTGGGAATTGTGCCCTGGTTTAACACATTAATATGTCTTCCAAAGAACCTGCCTCATTAGTCCAGTGGAGAGAGCAATATCTTACCTTTTGAGAAATAGCATGCCTCTGGGCAAATAATGTCATTTAATGCCTCCTTCCAAAATTTTGTTATAGTTGTAATAAATTGAAAAGAACATCTAGTGCATCTGTGGAAGGGAAAAAGAAATAACTAACATGCCAATAAAGCGGTAGGATTTAGTGAGCTTAGTGTTGATCGGGAAATGGTGGATGTGTGTGTCAGGATGTCAGTTCTCTTGAGCTCTGGTATGGCTGGCCCTGCCATTGTCTGGATGTCCACATCACCTTGAGTAGGTAGCTAGGTGCTGGAAAGTATTTGGGATACATGTGATGCCCCATGTGATTTATCGTGATGGACACCAAAAGTTCAGCTGTTGCCCTTTGTTTTCAGTACTGATGAATGCATTAAGTTGGAACTGACAGCTTCTCAGTTTTAATAGTAAGTGTGGTACCATGTTTCTAAGAATAATGTAATTATCTAAAATTTTGAGCCATTGTGTGGAAGATAGTCAAAAGAATATACTCTAGCAATGTTAGGTCACCAAGAAACTGTACAATTAAACAGGCATCTGTTTGATAGAGAAACAAATGAGTCACACTCCTTTCTTTACATGCATTTCAGGGCCATTCTTGACAACCAGTCATACGTGAGATTAAACTTGGGTCTGTTGTTTTGGTGTAATTTCTGTGAATCAGTTGAGATGTTAATACTTACCATGTTCATTCAAAAATGGCTATTCACAACTGGACCATTTTTCAAAATAAGTCCTACTTCTTATTAAATAATTGTGTCAGCGTGCTGTTTTTGCTGTTAATATGTTTGACATTCTAGTATATATTTTGTTTTCCCCTTTATTAGTTTTTGTCCTATGGAACAAGATAATATAGGAATACAGCCATTTCCTTTTCCTACAGCTTTAACTGGCTGTTAGCACTTAGCTGCATTGGATTTTAGATGCTTTTGTCTTACATAAAGCAAAAGTACAAATACTTACGTATACACATAAAAACTTACCTCTAAGTCAGCACTCAAGCAGTGAGTGTAAAAGAAAAATATTATTCTGCATGACTTCAGATAAGTAGAATACCACAGACTGCTAATGTCACAAATATGGGAAAATAATTATAGATAACAGAGATTTATGTTGGGACATGGTCATCAGGAGCCTGGGAAAGCTAAATAAAGCTCATAAAACATTTGACTTGTTTTACTGTATCATCTTTTCTTTCCTTCTGACAATATAAGTTCTGATGTGAAATTTCCTTTTGGGTTTCTTGCCTGTTAATAGTTGACATTGTAATTTTTAGTATCAAGGAAATATTTTAAACTAAGATAGAAAAACATTTTCTTCTGGATATTTATATACTTATTCTGCTAATACAGAAACGGAATAAAGATACCCAGTAGTTATTTTTAAATTCTCAGATTACTTATTTTCACTTGAGTATTGGTTTCCCTAATTGTTAGTCTATAGTTTGTTCAGCAGAAATTACACATGAGTTTTC